CACAGTCAAATACTCAAAAGTAGCTAACTGTAGGTTTTATGTTCCATAGTTTCTCAAAGGGTGAAACAAATCCTAACCTTGGTTGAGGAAGTCTGTTGATCACAAAGGTTGCAGTCCTCATTGCTTCAGCCCAAAACCTTCAAGGTACGTTCTTTGCATGTAGCATACTTCGACAAATTTCTGCAAGATGCCGGTTTTTTCTTTCCGCTACACCATTCTGTTGTGGCGTGTTGGCACAAGTGTACTGATGACGTATTCGACATTCCCTTAGGTATTGAGAGAACTCGTTTGATCTATATTCTCCTCCGTTGTCTGTGCGCAAGCAACATATCTTCTTTCCCACTTCTCCTTCAGCTGAGTCTCTGAACTCTTTAAACTTTGAGAATGTGTCAGATTTTTCTTTCATAAAAAAAACCCACACATACCTGGAGAAGTCATCAATGAATGTTACCATGTATCGCATACCGCTAATTGGCTGTTGCTTAACCGGTCCGAACACATCAGAGTGAAACAACTCCAACGGTTCTTGTGCTTTAAACTTCGACTCCTCATATGGTAATTGGTGTGCTTTACCATACTGGCATCCCACACAGACCGTGTCTGTTCTCACGTCTAGTTGAGGAAGCCCCTTAAGCATCAACTTCTTCACCATCACACTTAGCTTGGAATAGCTAACGTGACCTAATCGCATGTGCCATAGATCTGATGTCTCATTTTTTTCTTGTCCTGTCTATATATGCAGACTCTGCTGACATCACGTAGATTGACTCCAAACGTCGTCCCTCCATTGTTGGTGTTTCTGAGATTTTGACGTCACGATAAACCTCACGTCTTGGGGACCAAATAAGACATAATGGCCTGATGATGTTAATTGAGCCACAGATAGCAAATTTTTCTTCATTCCTGGGACATGATAAACATCTTGAAGTTGCATCTGATTAGAATTATATCGAGGCGTAACTACCGTCTTACCGATGTGAGTTATCGGTAACCTTGAATTGTCAGTTATCACCACCACACAACCTCCATTGTACTCAGACAGGTTTTGAAACTTCTGTTTTTCACCCGTCTTATGATTTGAGTAGCTCGAATCTACGATCCAATCATTCTTGTAGTCAATCTGTTCTGGTATTGTTACCGTGAGAGCTAATTCTTCTTCCTCTGTAGCAAATAACGCTTCAGCATCCCAACCATCTTCATTATTCTCCTTCGAGCTGGAAGTAGCAATATTACTTTCAACAGGCTTTTTCTTGTTCCAACAGTCTTTTGCCATGTGGCCCATCTTCCCGTAGTTGTAACACTTACCATCGAACTTTCTACTATTACCGCGATTCTTGGAAGCTCCCCCTGAATGAGTGCCTCCTTTGCCTTGGTAACTTTTCACCTTGTCACCATCCTTTTTAGATCCAGTGCCAGTATACCACTGAAAAGTGCCTATACTTTTGCTGGTGTAGAGCGCTTCCTCTTCACCCTTCAGCGAGACTCCTCCCATTTTCTTGGCCATGACTTCTTGACCTGCAAGTAAATTTTCAAACTCAACAAGCGATGGTTGTGTCGACCATCCCTGTACAGCGACAACAAACCCTCGATATTCGGGTCTCAAATCATGGACAATTATTCTTTTTAGCCTGGCTTCCCCATTAGCAGCTGTCGGATCCAATTCTGGAATTTCGTGGCATATCGACTTCACCTTGTGAAAGTATTGGGCAACCGCCATGTCGCGTTGCACCATTGATAGAAGTTCATTCTCAAGAAGTTTCAATTTTGTATCGTTCCTCTTCGAAAAGAGTGTAACAAAAGTGTCCCAAGCTTCCTTTGGTGTTTTAGCATCCCAGATGTGCTCCAAAATTTCTTCTTCAATTGTGGTCTTTAAAGCAAACATTGTTTTGCTTGCTTTAATTTTCCACTTTCATAAGATGCCATTGGCATCTTCTTCCGCCGGTTATGTAACTTCACCACCACCGACAACCTCCCAAAGGTCTTGTCCTTGTAAGTATGACTCTATACATGTTGCCCACGTGTTGTAGTTTTTGTTGTTGAGCTTCTTGATTCCTCCAACTACTTAAAGATCACCTATCTTAACGACAAAACTTTGACTATACCGAACAAGCTTGAGTAATAAATGTGCATAGTACTAAATTACTCTAAACACAAAGAAGCTCTACAAGGTTTGTAATAACCTCGACAATAATCTCAATAAATCTTTTCTGATGTAAGCAATGACATCAAAACTAAATTGATGTAAGCAATGACATCAAATTAATTTAGGTGTGAACTTATTTAAGTTAATATTGAATTTTCAACACGTCACCAATGTCCTACAACAAGGGAGAAAGTGTCCCAGAAAAACAAAGTTGGAAATGTAGAGAAAAATGGGAAGGAGCCCTTGTTGTTCAAAGGAAGGTCTCAATAGAGGAGCTTGGACTGCGTTTGAAGATAAAATTCTTGCAGATTACGTTAAAGAACACGGTGATGGACGTTGGAGAAATCTCTCATTTTATCTTCTTTTTTCAGGTGAAATTTATGTGTTTGTTTTTTACAGGTTTGAAAAGATGTGGGAAGAGTTGCCGGCTTCGGTGGTTGAATTATTTGAGACCAGATATCAAAAGAGGTAAACTCCAGGGAAACAGGTTTTGTTCTGAGTTATTAAACGAATTAACTCGTCTCTGATTGTGCTGAGTTAATGCAGATGGTCTTTGATAGCTGGGAGGCTTCCAGGCCGAATAGAGAATGAAATAAAGAATTACTGGAACACAAACCTAAGTAAAAGAGTCGACGACTGCCACCAAAAGCCGGATGCCGGAGCTTCAAAAAACAACAAATCCAAACAGACAACCGGTGCTGGTGTTAATAAGAATGGTATTGTTCCGACAAACGTGATACGGACAAGGGCAACAAGGTGCTCCAAGGTTTTCACAAACCCTGACCGTCGTGACATGAACATAGAGGCAAAGCCCTCGGCTTGTTCAAAGAATCGAACATCATCGGGAACGAAACAGATCAATGGGTTGTTTCCGGTCATGTCTGAGTCCGACAACGAAGGGACGGATCCTATTTCGTCGGATTTTTCGCTTGACTTCAACATGGAAGAGTTTTGTTTATCGGATCCTTTTGAGTTGCGATTTCTGTGATGTGGATGAGCTAGGTTACGGCAGTGCTTTTGGTTCGTCAACTTCACCTAATCAGCCTCTCACCTTCTCCGACGAAATTCCAACACGTGGGTTTGAATCTCCGGTCGTCGGCTCCATTTCTTGAAAATGAGATGAAATGTGATGTGAAGTAAACAATCGATCATCCATGACTAGTTCTCTAATGAATGACTGTGTTTCCGATGGATTCTCCGATCAGATTTTCACGTGAGAATGGTTGTTTGTTTCATATCGATCTATTGAATTAAATATATGTAATATTAATTAATTTAAAAAACTCGTGAGGTTTCAGAATTCACTAACCTTCTCCTTGAATTAAATTAAATATATTTAGAGAAACTTTTGTATCTACAAAATTATTTTTTATTGTTCATTAGTTATTGATATTAAAAAACAGTATTTTAATATAATACTATTTTTTTATATGTTGATAAATAATGTTAATTATAAAAATAAGTTAATTAGGTGAAATTGCAATAAAAATTAAATTAAATTTTACATCCATATCAAACTTTATTTATTATTTTAGAATAGTCATGTTTTTACAATTATGTATTAATTAGAATAAAAATGTAACTATGTAAATATATAGATGTATTTTTAATCAAGAACACAATTATGTATATAATAATTATGCTTATTCTTTTATTTGCTTATTATAATGATTATTCTTTTATATAATTTATTGATGTATTTGCTTACTATAATGATTGATTTTAATCAAGAACACAATTATGTATATAGTGGGAGGGGTCTTGCCATTGATGTAGGCTGTAGCTATATGTATGGTGGGAACTGGGAAGGGTCATGCCACGCCTTAATACTTTGGGTCCAATTGCTTCTTAGGTCCTTCTTAGTTTTGAAATTAGATAAATTAAGTTTTGTCTCTTAATTTTTAGATTCAAATAATTGATTTTTAAACTCAGTAAACTAAACCATACCCTCAATTTTTGGGACCAGATGCTTTTTAGGTGTCCTTAATTTTGAAACTAGATAAATTAAATTTTACCCTACCATTTATTCTGTTTAATTACTTCTTAAGCTCCTAGTAGTTTTGAAGCTAGACGCATTAAATCTTTAACTTTTTTTCATTTTAAATAATTCTTAGGTTTGTGTTATTGAAATTAAATAAATTAAGTCATACCTCTTGTTTTTTAAGTACTTTTAGAGTCTCATAAATTTTAAAATTAGATAAATCAGACCCGAACTTCCCTTTTTTTTGTTATACTCCCCCTATAAATTTGAGTGTTCATCGTAAAATGATTTGATAATCTTTCAAACATATATTACTTTTTAATCACATCAAACTAACAAAAAAATGTTATAACTGAAATTCAAGCATATAGTAATAAGGGTAAACGACACGTTTAGTACCTAAAACTATTACTTTGATTCCATTTTGGTATTCAAACTTTATTTTATTTCAAAATCATACTTAGTGTTTAATTTAATTTTCATTTTGTTACCCTACCCATTAAAAATTAAATTTGTCACCATAAAATAATGTCATGTCATCAAAAAAAATAAAAAAGTGTCACATCAGTAGTTCTATTAATTTTTTAACGACGAAAGTACCAAATTAAAACATAAACTAAACGCTAAACATAATTAATTTTTTTTTAAAATTTAAGTATCATAACAGAATAAAAATAATAGTTTAAATACTAAATAGATAGTAATAACTTTGGACCCGTGTAGAAAGTGTAAGAAATGCAAGTTCCGAACAAATCCAACCTTTTATAATTACGTTAGGAGGAACCGATCAATCTTTTTATAATTACGAACTGTAGATTTGCATCATGAACACAACAGAGTCGAGTAAGATGATTACTCATTGGGTCCTAAACCCCAACTTACCCAAATTTTGAGAAAATATATATAAAAAATGAAAGACAAAACAGTCGAAATTCATCGAAACATGTGATCCCAAGTCCCAACCAAGCACATTCTTCACCTCTACTGCAAAAAGTCCACCACCGGATGTTTTACTCAAACATCTGCAAAAAACCAGTTTAATTTTCTTAAAGCACATAAACCAATGGCTTGGAGCAAATGAACCATTGTTAAGTTAAAACTATACCATTGTGAGCTCTTGAATTGAAAATGGGAAAGTCATTTGAAGTGGAAGGGATGGATATTGACAGCCTGGTTGTTGAAACCGATGGGCCTTTGGGTGATTTATCGTCACCCAAATCAAGCCATGAATCTCTATGTTTCAGCGGCCATTCATCAAAGAAACGATGAACTGTCTTTTGTTGTTCTCCGTCCTTCTTGCTTTGAAGTTTCAAGTATGAGTATTCACTCTGTTTTGAAGAAGCTGAGCTCATTGTTAATGGTGTAAGTTGCAATGAATTGTCCATTGATGAACCAGAGAAAAAAGTATGTTCATCAACCTCTTCTTTCACCCCATAAACATAGCTATTCCTCCTTCAAAAAGAAACCACAACAAAACAAAACTTTAGGTCATACACAAAATGGAAGAGAGAACGATCAACACTTACAAGTAAATCTTTGTAAACCCAACCTATAATCCATGTTAAAATCCTTGACAGAAAGAGAAGGGTTAGTCCTTGTTGACGATGTTGCAGTAGAAACTTCCAAAGGCTTTCTTGAACGGTTTTTGCCTCTATGCATGTGTCTTTCACAGTATTTGGAATCTGGGTAGGCCTCTTTAGAGCATCTCCATTTCTTCCCATCTGTTCTCCTGCACCTCCCTGGCTCTGGGTCCACTTTTCTCCCTAGTCCCACCTGGAAACAGTTCAATCCACCTGCAGGAATACATTGTTAATATTACCCAAAATGAAGAAAAAATGTTGTTTTTTTGGGGTTTTAGTTTTACCATGTGGAGGAGGAGGCTGGCGAGAGAAAAGTCTGGTGTCGAAGCAACTTCTCTTAATGGATAAAAGGAGATTAGGTGGTATGGGAATGCCTGAGACCACGTACTTGAAGATTAGAGCTTGGTGTTCAAGTTCTTGCCACTGAGTTGCAGTAAAAGGAAACCTGTTTCTTCCACTCATCTTTGTTGAAACTTGAAAAGAAAGAGAGGGTTGGTTTCTCTGCAAGTGTGTGTTAGAGTGGTGTATTTATTTCATGGACCATTTCACTGTAGATATTGCAGAATCTTGGTGTACATGGATGAAACTAATGGTTTATGAATGCTTGCCACCTTTTGTTTCTCTCTCTCTGTTTTCACTCACTGAGTACTGGGGGGTGAATGTGATAGCTGCTCTGATATATATTATGACTGCAGCCTCTGGTCTGCAACTCAGCTGCAACAATGGCAAGTCTTCACCTCTGACAACTCCACGGAAACCCATACACTAAAGGGTAAATGAGATGAAAAGAATCATTATTAACTACAACAGTTGGTGCCTGCAACTCTGAAGCCAAATGCCTGCTTCCTGAAAAGCTTGTACGGTTTTGAGCCTTTACTGCTACACAAACTCCTTTACTTTTTTAAGTTCATTCCCGTGCTCAAAGTTCATAGTTACTTCATCTTTAAGATTCTAATATTTTAAGGATCGAATTTAAATTCTATATTTTATAACAGCAATGGTTCCAAATAAAAAGTTAAGTAGATGAAAATGTATGAACAGTTTCTTGTGATACTTCTGTCTCCATGTAGTTTGGGACTAATTGTATAGTTTTATGTTTACATTGGGACTGTTCTCGGGCACTATTCGGGATGTAAATAAATCAGATTTGAATGAATAAAATTATGTTTATGATCGTTTATTTATTTTTAAAAGTGTTCATGTTAGGATCTTATTCGTTTAAATTTTCAATTTGAATTTTGTGTGTCTTTATTTATTTTTAAATGTGTTTGTGATTTTATGTTCGGTTCGTTTAGTGTCTAACATGTGGGTTATGGTCAACTCATTCAGTGCTGTCAACCACTACACAGCTTGAAAACGACTTAACAATATCACACCATTCCCTAATGAACCTCATAGTTGAAAACTCCATTCATGAAGCCCATGTGTAATTTCTTACACACTCCCTACCATATCAGGGATGCTGCCCCAGTTACAGACTGCCCTTCTTAAAGGCTAGCAAGATGAGCTCATGTCCATCGGTAAAAACAGTGAATGATAAAATAAAACCAGGGGTGGGACTTCATAAAATCTCGTACCGACAGGAGATGCATCATTAAAACCAAGCCTGTTTGCCTGCAGAGACACTGTTTTTTTTTGGCTAAATGCTTGGTTAAGACGAAGCAAAAGCCTTGAAAGCTGCTTCACCTAAAATTCAGCTACCATCTGTGGAAAACACTTATGATTCACAGTTCAAACATCTGCATAAATATCTGATTTAATTGTATTATGTTACTCGGACTCGGATGTTAGTTTTGGCTAGATTTTTCGAAGCTTTTCAATATGTTTGGAGAATCCTTGGAGGTTATAACCTCGTATCAAAGAGTCGGAGCTAACACATGAGCAAGTTCTTAGCATGTAGGTAACATAGTTCCAACAAAGCAAATATGGTTTTGAGATTCTTAAGACCTTATGGATCACATATCCCTTTTACACAAACTTGTAGTCTGTAGCAAGTAACATCAATATTTATGATAGAAAATTCTGAAATTCAAAACTGTAAATCATCTATAGATGAGTAAGATTTTATGCTCCTAAACAATTCTCAGGTTTCAAGATGAAGATTGGTGATTTAAAAACAGTCAGCCAGTAAAAGACCACAATCAGCTAAGTTGGATGTAACCTAACCAAGTTCAAACAAACAATACCCTTTATTTCTTATAGTGAATTGTAATAACCGGTTTTGAATGTATTGGTTGTGATCGTAAAACTCAGGCATAGTTTATATTTAATCCCAAAAGTTTCTGTGCATAATTGCAACTCTGGGTTTTCCTTCCTAAGTGTTTTAATCATTAGATCAAGTAACAATGGGTGAAACTCAATCTCAAGGGACGCCAACGCTCTTTTCTCCTTACAAGTTTAATCTTTCCCGCAGGTTTGTTGTCTCTGTTTTTTCTGTGTATTGGTTTTCGCATCAGATTCCGTGATCTCGGAGAGGATTAGATCATCCTTGTTCAGACATGTTCCCACAATATCTCCTCGGATTCTGCAAAGCCGAGACAAATACGGAAGTCTAATTAACTTCTGCTTGCGTTTGATGACGGTAGGGTGGTACTGGCGTCCATGACGACTGCAGCAGGGCAATTTCATTACTTAATTTGGCAATGAAAACTGATATGTCATATGAGTCATTGGCATTATTCCACACAATGAATGTCTACTGTCTGTAAATGCAATGTTCCACTTAGAAATTATAGGAGTTCAATCCCCCATTAATGTATACGATGAAGTTAGCGGAATGTGTCCAGTTCTAATTATTCGGTAACTTCATTCTATCCCTTGGTACCCTCTTGCAGTTCAATTACCATAATCATTAGCATGTTATTCACCATACATTTTGAGCATTTGTTACTAAACCTGATTTGGTTATTTGAATGAAATAGTGTTTCAACTTGGCGGAGCTGCACCAATATCATCAACAAACAAACCTATCCAGAATAGGTGGAGCATTCTTATGCCTGCTGGGAACCTCGGAGATACAAGAGGTTGTCGAACACTACCACGAGGCAGCCTTGAATCCATTCAAGGCGATTAGATTAACTATTAAAACTTGCAGATTTTGACGGGATCGAGATTCATGGAGCACATGGACATCTCATCAACCATTTTTTGAGGACGGGATCAATGATAGTAAGGTGGAACATTGGCAAAGCGGCGTAGATTCTTTGATATAAATCGTTCTAGCAGTAGCTGATGTAGTAGCTACCCGAATTTCACATGCAATGGATCACCTGGACGCTATGGACTCTAACCTCTCGAACTAGGCTTGGTAGTGATCGAGAGAGTTGTCGAAACTATCACGTGACTTACCCTGTTTATAATGCTTACGGGCAAACCGAACAAGGCTGGCACGATAGGATGAGTGATACATGGAATGTACTCGAGCAATCCGAGTTGAGACTTATCTGTGAAGCAATTGAATGAGCCAATCCAATCCAATCCAATTTAATCACGGCATTAAAATACAAATCCAAAATCCAGCAAATACTTACAGCTAAGAAGACCCCACCCTCGGCTTTATCCTCATCAATTTCTTCAAAATTTTCCCAACTCAATCTGATTTTCCCAGCAAATAAGCCAGGTAAGCAGGGGGAGGACCCTGTCTTCTCTGAGTCTGACCGCTGGCTATGCTATGCTCTGTTCTCTTATGTTATTTAACTGAACTTTAAGAGACAGTGTCACGCTGTTTTTGCCAGTCTGTCAATTTCTATCTTCATTCTTTATATATTGTAAAACATATACGGATCTCTAGTTTTCTTTATCCTCTGTTTCCTCCATTTGTATACACATCTGCCTAGAAACGTCAGAGTTCGTCATTTTCCATGAGTCTCTTCGGCCTCGGTAGCAGGTTCGCACCATTTCAATAACCCAAATCTCATTCTTTTCAAACTTTTCTAGATTCTGTCTTTTTTTGTGTGTGTGTATGTGAATTATGGTGGTGAACTCTGCTTTCTTCCTTTTTAATTATCATTTTGTCTTTGTTTCTTGATGATAAATGATTTTCATACATGGGGTTTCATAAATGATATTTTTTTTACATTATGCAGAAACCAGAAGACATTTAGGCCAAAGAAGAATGCTCCATCAGGAAGCAAGGTTCGACTGCTGCTTTCATTGTTCTGTTTTTTTCGATTTAATTTTTATATAAAGTTGATATGCAGCAATTCTCCATTAAAATGCATTTGCAGGGTGCTCAGCTTCAAAGGCACATCAATGCAACCTTGGGTAGTGGGAACTTGAGAGAAGCTGTTAGGCTACCACCTGGTGAAGATATCAACGAATGGCTAGCTGTAAATAGTAAGAATCTTAATTAAAATCATATTTGCTACAGATTCATATCACCTGGAACTGATTTTCTCTCCTTTTTTGTCATGCAGCTGTGGATTTCTTCAATCAAGTGAATATCCTGTATGGTACACTAACTGAGTTCTGCACTGCAAACAGTTGTCCAACTATGTCAGCAGGAACAAGGTTCGATACACTCAGAACACTTATTATAGTTTGCTCGAGAATTTAAGTTAAATCACTCATCGATGATGATTGATGTCGACAGATACGAGTATCGGTGGGCTGATGGGGTTACTGTAAAGAAGCCTATAGAGGTATCTGCTCCTAAATATGTTGAGTACCTCATTGACTGGATTGAAGCTCAGATGGATGATGAAGCAATTTTCCCACAAAAACTGAGTTAGTAATTCAGTATACTATCATGTACTCGTGATATGAACTTAAAAATGGAAGCTATTGCCATTGTTGATGACAAGTGTTATTTAATACAGGGGCAGCATTTCCACCGAATTTTCGAGATGTCGTGAATACGATATTTAAGAGATTGTTCAGAGTATATGCACACATTTACCACTCACATTTTCAGAAGATTGTGAGCTTGAAAGAGGAAGCTCATTTGAATACTTGCTTTAAGCATTTTGTTCTGTTTACTTGGGTAAGTTTTTCTCTTCAAAGTCCCATGTGCTTATGGTATGATTATGAGGGGCGTCCATATCTGAAACATTGTCATTTTATGCAGGAATTTCGGTTGATTGACAACGGAGAACTTGCACCTCTGTCTGATCTTGTGGACTCTATTCTGCAGTTGTAGACCAATGAGTCTTCTATTTGTTTTTCTGGTGGTTCTTTTTTCTTGTTGCAGAAAAGATTAATTAAAAGCTTCTGTTGTCTCCCTTGTCTTCCATTTCATTTATCATAAATAAAGATAAGGTTTTCGTTCAAGTAATCGATGTCTATGTTAGGAGGAGACGAGTGATACGGAGCTTGAACGAAATTTTTTATCTCGACAACATTCAAAAGCTAGTATCTTTAACCGATGTCTATTTTTCGTAAAATAGATGAATAACTAAATACTTAATTTTATGGATAAATTACATGGTTAAGTCATTAAAATTTTCTTATGTGTTGATTATCTAAATATAAAAATTTTGCCAACAAAATTAATTTTTACGATGATCAAATTCTTATAAATCAAAGTCAACTGTTCCCTCCAACATTTCCCAAGAACTTTCTTGGTGAAGATCTTAATTAGGCAATTGTTCCCGGCAACTGCTTTTTCACTATATATTAGTAAAAAGACTAACCTATTTACTCCCAGGGATGATTACTCTAAATCAAATTGTCTTTGTAAAAGGTAGAAGTATCGTTGACAATACTCTCCTTGCACAGGAAATGGTGAAAGGCTATGGAAGGAAATCAATTTCCCCTAAAAGATTGACCTTCAAAAGGCCTTTGACACTCTTCACTGGGGCTTCATTTCATCAGTTCTAAATGCAATACAGCTACCAAAAACCTTCATTGACTGGATTGAAGCTTGTTTCTCAACTGTAAGATACTTCATCTCCTTCAACGGAAGCCTGATTGGATATTTCAAGGGTGAAAGAGGAATAAGGTAAGGTGACCCACTATCCCCTTTCTTATTCGTCCTCGAAATGAATGTGTTGTCTAAAATTCTTAATTTGGCTGCTGCGAGAGGTATGTTTGGCTTTCACCCTAAATGTAAGAAGATAGGGCTCACTCACTTAATGTTTGCGAATGATCTTCTAATCTTTTGCAAAGAAAATTTGGAATCAGTTGTCGAAGTCACTACTGTTTTAGACAAATTCTATGAAATGTTTGGCCTAAAGCTAAATGCGGCCAAATGTGAATTCTACGCAGCTGGTATTTCTACTAATATCCTGGAGTCCATTAACAAAACTACGGGATTCAAGCAAGGATGTCTGCCTGTGAGATACCTAGGAGTCCCTTTGGTCACTAGGAAACTCTCTGAAAAGGACTGTGCCGTTCTCATTGATAATATCAAGTCCAGGCTTTACCACTGGTCAGGTAAACTCTTGTTTTATGCAAGAAGACTCGAACTTATAAGAGCGGTCTTGTTAAGTGTTGCTAACTACTGGTGCAGACAACTTTTTCTACCTCAATCTATTATTAAAAAGATTGGGCAACTCTGTTCTTGCTTTTTCTGGAAAGGTTCAGATAAAGCGGCTACTGGAGCTAGAGTAAGCTGGGGAACGATATGCCAATCGAAACCTGAAGGAGGACTTGGTTTAAAGGACTTAAAAACGTGGAATAAGGCATGTATGATCCAGCTTATTCGAAGTATCCTAGCAGGTGAAGGCTCATTGTGGGTTGCTTGGCTAAACAACTACGTCCTCAACGATAAAGACTTCTGGCACATCGATAGCAGTACTAATACCAGCTAGCTGGAGCTTCAGAAAATTACTAAAACTAAGGAGAGAAGCCAACGCTGTTTTCTCAACCGTAGCAACATCAATTCGTGCAATTTGGGAAGAGACTAGGGTTAAGAGAGACAAAGTTCACTAGCATAATCTGATTTGGTTTCCCCTCCACATTCCTAAACACAACATGATCGCTTGGATGACTATTTTGGACAGACTTCTTACTAAAGATAGACTACAACATATGTGTATTGCTACTAATGGTTTATGCGTTTTATGTAAAGAAGCACAGGATACGAGAGATCACATGTTCATGGAATGCCCACTAGCAAGCTATCTCTGGAAGGAAATCTTACTACTAACCGGCTTGTGAAGATCTTCATTGTCTTGGGATCAACTAATGTCCTGGGCATGTGGTACTTGGACAGGTAACTTCCTCCTAATTAATATTCTGAAGTTTGAATGGACTGCATTTATTTATTCTCTTTGGGAAGAAAGAAACAAAAGGCTATTCCGAAGAAGCTCAAGAACAGTTGATGAAATTCTTAAAGCTATTAAGGAGTTTGTTAGAATTCAACTAAGAGATAGGATAATCAATAGAATAGATAGAGTTAATATCTCTCTTTGTATTCAATGGGGTATTGACTAACCTTCTATGTTGGTTGTTCATGCTCCATGTTGGTTGTTTTAATGCTTGTACTGTAGTAGTTTACTGCTCTCTTTTGGGTAATAATATTCTTTTATTTATCAAAAAAAAAATTATTGTAATACATATTCATTGGTGTGAATCAATCTGTACGTAAATGAAGCGAAGTAATACGCAAGAACAAGACACCACCACCGCAGTGGACGTCGTCTTTAGAGATTTCCAAGGCCGCCGTGAAGCTTTGGTGAAAGCCTTAACCACCGGTCTCTGTCTTCTTTCTTTAATATTTTCCTTTCTTTATAATCCATTAATCTTTTTCGCACTCTAATTTCCGTTCTTTCTTTTTCTTGGAGCAGATTTTGAAGAATTCTATAAGCAATGCGATCCTGGTGATATCTTCTTCTCTTTCTTGGACGTCAAGACTGTTTCTTTGACTTGTGGGATAATTATTTTCTAAGTTTGGGTTTAAAACTTGTGTTTCTTGTCTTCTGTTTTCCAGTCAAGGGCGTCGACCTTTGCTTGTTTGGACTCGAAGATGGACGATGGAAAGTTAAACCACGTACCCATAAACCTCCAGAGATACCAAACCCTACATGGGGTTTTAACATTAACAGAGATTTGTTGGATAAATATCCTTGTGTGCGTAATTGTTGGAGAAAAGTCAAAAATAATGGGCGTAGAAATGGGGGGCGCAGGCAACACATTTTCAACAAAGATAGGAGAGGGGGGGCATCGCCTATGCATATTTTCAACAAAGGGGTACGCACGTTTTTAACAATTCGGTGCCCCCAATTTTTAATTAAAATATAATTGGCATAATTGCATTTTTAGTCACTGTATATTTTAGGGTATTTACAAGATTAGTCCCTAAGTTTCAACTATAAATACCCTAGCTCATTTAACTTCAAAATCATCCCAAAATCTTCCAGTTCTCTCTCAAGTATGTTTTGTAAACACCTGTACTTTTTTCACTTTAGTAAAAGATCTGCAGCAGTCCGGAGACGTAAGCAAATTGGCTGAACTCCGTTATCAATTTTTCGGGTATTATTTTTTCCGCTTTTATTTCGTATTCTCACTAATCTGGCTATAAGGATGTTACTTGTTATTCGTTTATTTCTCAACAACTGGTATCAGAGCTTTTGGTTGTGAATTTTGTCAATTTTTGTGAGGTTACTATTCATTACTATTCACGTAAATAGTAAAAATTTTGTCGGCGATACGAGTTTGTTGACGGATGTGTTTTAATACACGGTGGTTCGCAAGAATTTTTAGAAACGATCCAAACGAATCCAGATTCGAGTGGGAGCGATGGTTGCAGACGAAGGGAAAGTAAAAATTAAAAAGTTCGATGGTACGGACTTTGGTTTTTGGAAGATGCAGATTGAAGATTTTTTGTACCAGAAAAATCTATATCAACCCCTCTCAGGAAAACAACCAGAGGGCATGAAGAATGAAGACTGGGCTCTTCTCGACAGACAAGCCCTCGGAGTTATCCGATTGACGTTATCCGGCAATTTTGCTTTCAACATAGCAAAGGAAAAGACCACGGTGGGTCTTATGGCAGCTCTCTCCAATATGTATGAGAAGCCATCGGCCTCAAATAAAGTTCATTTGATGAGGCGATTATTCAATTTGCGGATGACGGAAAGGGCATCAGTGGCTCAACACCTGAATGAACTCAATACAATCACAACCCAGTTGAGTTCCGTGGAAATTGAATTCGATGATGAAGTTCGAGCTTTAATTCTCTTATCATCTCTACCAGACAGTTGGAATGCTACTGTTACAGCAGTTAGCAGCTCGTTGGGAAATAGTAAATTGAAATTCGACGATGTTCGGGATCTGGTACTGAGCGAAGAAATTCGACGGAGAGAATCGGGTGAAGCATCAACCTCCTCAGCCTTGCACACGGAGTCCAGAGGGAGAACTTTAGAAAGAAATTCAAATCGTGGCAGATCGAAATCCAGACGGGGAAAATCAAGAACGAGAAAGAAAGATTTTACCTGTTATAATTGTGGCAAGAATGGTCACTTTAAAAGGGATTACCGAGCACTGAAGAAAGATACCGACGCACAGGAATCTGCAAACATGATAGAGGAGACAGGTGATGTCATGATTCTAAGCGTCAACAGTCCGATTGAATCCTGGATCTTGGATTCAGGGGCATCTTTCCACTCCACCCCATGCCGAGAAATCATGGAGAACTATGTCAGTGGTGATTTTGGGAAGGTTCATCTAGCCGATGATGAAACCTTAAAGATCATCGGAAAAGGAGACATCCGATTAAAGTTGCCAAACCAGACCACCTGGACGTTGAAAGGAGTGAGACATATTCCTGGCCTCAAAAGAAATTTGATTTCTGTAGGACAACTTGATGGTGAAGGATTTAACACAACCTTTTCAAGCTGTGAATGAAAGATTACTAAAGGAGCACTCGTCATTGCTCGTGGTAAGAAAACTGTTACTCTCTATATAACCTCAAATTTAGAGAATATCATTGCAGTAGCAGATGCTGATGGAAAATCAAACCTATGGTACCAAAGGCTTGGCCATATGAGCGAGAAAGGGATGAAGACACTTTTGTCAAAAAGGAAGTTGCCAGATCTAAAGAATGTAGATATCGGACTATGCGAGGATTGCATCTTTGGCAAACAAAAGAAAGTCAGCTTTGCAAAGATTGGTAACACACCCAAGGCTGAAAAGTTAGAGTTGGTTCATACTGATGTATGGGGACCATCTCCAGTTCCATCTCTTGCAGGCTCACTATATTATGTCACCTTCATCGATGATTCTACA